GTGCCAGAGCGTCAGGGAGCGGGCCCAGGCGTCTGCCGCCGTCGCCGCGCCGCCCTCTGCCCCTCCCCCGGTCTTTCAGGAGGGGAAAAAACACACAGACACAATTAATCGTCGATTCCCAGAAAATATGGGAAAATATGGGAAGTGGTGGGGAAGACAAAGACCCAGAAAATATACGAAAATATGGGAATATTTTTATTTGTGTGTATTTATTTGTGTGTCCCAGGGCCCCTTCAGTCTTCCTCCGACATTCTGCCCTTCCCCGCCCCATCCCCTCCCCGTACTCTGCCCTCGTCTCTCGCCCGCCCTCTGCCCTCTCCCCGGCCTTCCTCCGTCTGGCAATCGAGGGGCTCCCGGGCTCCTCCTCCCTTGCCCCCGCCTCTATCTCGCCGCAGAGCGCACGTTGCCCCATGGTTTGCCGTGGCAGGGGGCGGAGGTCCAGGCGAAGCGGCCCGAGCGAGGCGGTCTGGAGCCAAGCAGTCTGTGCGAGGCGGCCCGCGGTGGAGCCAACTGGGGGTTTGAGGTGGCCCAGCACCGGCTCTGGCCTGTACCCCCCCAAAGCGGTTTGGGCGAGGCGGCCCGCGGTGGAGCCAACTGGGGGTCTGAGGTGGCCCAGCACCGGCTCTGGCCTGTGCCCCCCCCCTCTTGACAGAGCTTCTGGGGCCCAATGCACCAGGCCGCCTCCACGCCCGTGGCTTCTTGACAACAAGCGCGGCGAAAGTGGGCGGCGACTCGCCTCCTACGTTCGTCTTCGCCTCCCGCTTTCGCTCGCCTCCCGCTTTCATGTTCGCCTCCCCGTTTCGCTCGCCTCCCATTTTCGTGTTCGCCTCCCGCTTTCGCTCGCCCCCCCCTTTCGTGTTCGCTTCCCGCTATCGTTCGCCTCCCGCTTTCGTTCGCCTCCCGCTGTCGCTCGCCTTCTGGGGAGCGAGCGAAAACGGGAGGCGAACGAAAGTGGGAGGCGGGCGGAAGCGCGAGGCGAGCGAACGCGGGGGGCGAGCGAAAGCGGGAGGCGAACGATCGAGGCGAACGATAGCGGGAAGCGAACAGGGAAGGTGGGACGAGCGATAGCGGGAGGCGAGCGGAAAGCGGGAGGCGAACGAAAGTGAGAGTTGAGCGAAAGCGGGAGGCGAGCGAACGCGGGAGGCGAGCGGAATCGGGATGTGAGTTACAGCGTTCATCGAGCGGAAGTGGGAGGCGAACGAACGCGGGAGGCGAGCGAAAGCAGGAGGCATGCGAACGCGGAAGTCGGACGAAAGCGAGTGCGTTCGTCTCTTTTCTCGCGTTTCGTTTGTCTTGAATTCGTTCTCGTCTTGACGTCGGTTTCCCCTGTCGTGTGAATGACGTGCCCATACCAGTGGCAGTGCCTCGCCGAGAGAGTCCCAGGGGTGCGTGAAGGGCCGACGGAAAGCCGAGTTGTCACCCGAAGGCCAATGGGCAACGATAGGGGGGGTATAGGTTGAGGGGAACGCGCATCGAACTTCAATCGCCCAGTCATCGGCGATTAGGGCCCGATAGCCCTTCCTTGCCCAGGAACGTCAGGAGTCGCTATCGGGTGCCTACCGCCGATCTATCGGCGATGTATCGCTGATTCCAGGTCGATGTTTCTTCCATGACCCAGTCCCACCCTGTCGTCGCCCCCTCACGCATGCAGGCGTTGGCTCTTTCGAGGGCTGGTCTCAGTGGCGGCGGCCGCGCCAGCCTCCTCGAAAAAACGAGGGTACCTCGAAGAAGAGAAAGCTGCATAAACATAAGCTGTCAGACTTCCGCGCAGATTTCTTGGACGTGCACTGGGCCCCCCCTGGCAGCCCCTCCGGCGCCGCCCTTGGCGCGCCATGGAGGGGGGTCTAGCGCGGATTCAAGAAATCTGGGCGAATTTCCGAACGTGCGTGTTTGCGTTCTGCTGTGTTCTCTTCCTCGTTGATTGGTTTCCGCAGGAACTCGGGGCAAGGTTTTTCAATGGGTGGCATGCAGATGTGGCCCATAGTTAACGACACAGGGACAGGCAGCTTTCAGTTTTCGCCCAGCAAACATTTCTCTGGCTAGGGGTCGATTCTCACGCAACCTCTTCCTCTGGCACCGGGCACCCTCGCTTCCAGGAGCTCCTCCGCTATACCAAGGCGTGGATGCCCTCGGCTCGGGACAGCCCCGCGCGGCGCTCGCCAGCGTCGCGCAGCGTCGCGCGGCATCGGCCCAGCGTGCCTCGTGGAGGACGCGAGGCTCACAGCGCGTACGCTTCAGAGTGACCTTGTGGAACCTCTCGGGGTGCTTTTGAGGGCCTCTCGGAAGCTGTTCGGCGATCTCCTGGGGTGCTCCTGGGGGCCTCTGGGGGCCGAGGGTTCGAAACATGCGTTCGGGCCCCCCGCCCGGGCTCCTTTTCGCATCCGTTCCAGGGCTTCTCGGGCAGCGTCGAGGCCTTTAGCGTCGTGCTGGAAGCCTTATAGGCATAGGGCGTTTCGGAGCCCCCCTCGGGGCGTCTCGGGCCGCGTCTGGGGCGCCACGGGCGGCCGCTCGGGCCGCCGTGGGCGTTGCGAATGTGGAGATGGCGAAAGCGGTGAAGAAAAATAAATTTCCCAATCGCAGCGAGACGGCGGGGCGGTTTTCGGATCCGCCGATGGAGATGTCGGGGGCGGGGGGGGGGGGGGTTGGAGGCTGCGAGGGGCGCCTTGGAATCTTTCGGGTTGTTTGAAAGCCACATTGGGCGCTGAAGGGCCGATCTTTCGGCGATGCGGGGCTCTCGCGGAAGCCGGGGGCGGCTTCTCGTGGCGCTCTTGGACGGTATTTGTGTTTCGTTCGAAGTTCATTTGGCCCCGGGGGGGGGCGTTTTGACCCGTCCCGCCTCCCCCCCCCCGGGGCTCCCTTCCCACTCCCCCCCCGCGGGGGGGATCGAGGGAAGGGGCTTCCCTTCGCTTCAATTACGCGCGACATTTTTAAATTTCGCCCTAGCAGGCGCGCCCGAGGAGGAGGGTTCAGGGAGGGGAGGGGGGGCGGCGACGACGACGACGACAACGACGACGAACGGTGTTCTCGCGATTTGTTCGGGAATCGCGCTCTCCCTCGAGAATTCCTCGCGATTCACGCAGGGCTCACGCTTCCGCAACCCGCCTGCTCGACGTGGCCGCAAGGGCCCGCCTTGCCGACCAGCCCGCAAGGGTCTGCCCGCCCGATCTGCTAGTTTGTTTGTTATCACCACGTGTTTTCTGCTCCTAGCCCCTAGCCCCCCGCCTGCTAATTTCTCTGGTGTTCCATCCCTCCCCTTTCCATCCGTCCTCTCTTCGCCAGTTTGGTTGGGGCGCGCTAGATGCGCGAAACGGGTAAGGAAGATATGCCTCCAAGGGGTTTCGATGGAATGCAAGGGTGGCGGGTGCCGAGGACTCGGGGAATACGGGTGAAGTAGCACGCGAACATATATAAACGAACAGTATTCCAATTGTTGTCGTTGTTGATGTTGTTGTTGGGTTCTCATTTTTCAGGATGGGTTATTGTTGATCCACTTCCAGAACTGATGGCATTTTTGAATTCGAGTGCTCCTCCCAGGGCCCGCACCATTCTTTTTCAAAAGAAAGCGGGGTGTCACCAAATTGGGTTGCTTGGTACTTCCACTGTTTTCCCAAATCGCGCTTTCGCGCAAAACGCTCTCACAATGTATGCAGGGATGGCGCTGTCGCGTGGGACCTCCTCGCAATTTATTCAGGCGTCGCGCCCTCGACATTCAGTAATCAAACAATCGATTTGGCTTCCCTCGCGATGTATTTGGGGATCGCGCTATCGTTCGAGATAACCTCGCGATTGATGCAGGACCCACGCTTCAGCAACACGCCTTCATGACCTGGCCGCTTGGGCCCGCCTGCGCCAATTACACGCGGCTGGTATGGAACATATACCCCCACGGGGTCGATCGAAGAGGAAGAGGGCGGGCATCGACGGTTCGGGCAATACGTGTTGAATGGCACGCGAGCAGACGAAAGCGAACCGTGTTAAATTGGTGTTGTTGATGTTGTTGTTGGTGTTCAATACCTTTTTGTCGGGAAGTCCTATTGCTGACCGCCTCCCTCTTGTGCACCCTTTGTTTTTTAATTTCAGCGTTCCTCCCGGGTTTCGCGCCCAGTTGTTCCTAACCATGTTGTGGTGGTGGGTCTTCGTTTTGAACATTCAGCGACTTGCGTTATCTCCTCTCCCCGCTGCATCCCCTCGTCCGCCTCGTCATTATCAGCATCACTAGCGCCATCGCCATGGTCATCGTCATCATCAGCAGCATCATCACCACCATCACCATCATCAGCAGCATCATCCGCATAACCATCAACATCATCAGCACCATGGCCGTCATCATCATCATCATCATCAGCATCATCAGCAGCAGCATCATCATCATCAGCATCAGCATCATCATCATTATGATCATCATCATCATCATCATCATCATCATCATCATCGTCATCGTCATCGTCATCATCATCATCATCATCATCATCATCATCATCATCATTATCATCATCGTCATCGTCACTGTTATCATCATCGTCGATGCCATCCGCACCATCATCGTCATCACTCCCAGTTCGGCCCACGCCTCACACGCTCCGTGGCCCCACAGGGAGCTCCGCCGAAAGCCCCAGTGACGCTGCCCGCATGTGGGCGCCACCCCCATTGCGGCACACCCCTCACACGCTTCGTGGCCTCACAGGGATCTCCACAAAAGGCCCCAGTGGCGCCGCCCGCATGTGGGCGCCACCCCCGTTTCGGCACACCCCTACCACGTTCCGCGGCCCCACAGGGAGCTCCACCGAAGGCCCCAGTGGCGCTGCCCGCATGTGGGCGCCACCCCCGTTGCGGCACACCCCTCACACGTTCCGCGGCTTCACAGGGAGTTCCACCTCAGGCAGCAATGGCGCCGTCCGCATGTGGGCGACACCGTTGTCTCGGCACACTTTTTACACGTCTCGGGGCCCCATCAGGAACTCCACCGAAGGCCACTGCGGCACAGCCCACACGCGGGCGTTTCCTCATAGGGTGTCCCACTTAATATGGTACTCATAAGTGCGTATGGTTCGGTTTTTCGCCGGGATATTTTTTACAAGGACGGGTTTTGCGCGCCAGATTGTGTTGTTGGCCCTTGGTTTACAGAAGCGGCGATTCCCGCTTGCTACCTTCCGGCAATGGATTCAACATCGCGTCCATGCGGGACTGATGCTTCAGCGACCCACCCGCTTGACCCAGCCTTCTGGGCACCCCCGCCCCACCCGCCCGTCAGGACCCGCCCGGCCGGCCAGCCCGTTTGGTTCTGCCCTGTCTGTCCCTGCTCCTGCCCCCTCCTCTTAAGAGATCGTGCTCCATCATTATCTATCCCCTTTGTCCTTTCCCTACTCCCTTCCCTATTTTGGCGCTGCGTCAATTACCCGTGGCAGGTAAGGCGGACGTATCCCCAAGGGGGGTACGTATGATCAAAGGCGAGCGGGTTTTGAGGGTTTGGGACACGTACGTTGAGTGCGCGAGCAGGTAAGGAGGACCAATCTCACATTATTGTTGTTGATACTGCTTTTGTTATTCTTAATGTGTAAGTGTTGTTGTTGGTGTTGTTGCTGGTCGTGGTAATGGTGTTATTGTTGTTCGTAATGTTATGAGTGTTGTTATTGGTGTTGCCTTCGTTGGTCTTGTTGATGTTGTTTATGGTGTTGTTGTTGCTGGTGGTGTTGTTGCTGGTGTTGTTGCTGTTGTTGTTGCTGATGTTGTTGCTGCTGCTGCTGTTGATGTGTTTTTTTGTATCATTGCTGTTGTTGTTGTCGTTGTTGATGTTAATGCTGGCCATGTTGTTTATCTTCTGGCCTCGGTTGGCGACGCGACCGCTTCCAGCGGCATCGCGCGCCGGCCAGGAGCTGGCAGGATCCACGGCCTTAACGGTGGCAGCCGCCGGGGCTTTGCGGTTGCAGCGCCGCGTGGCAGAATCTCGCGCTTTGCTCCCCCAAGCGCAGGATTGGATGGGCGCGCGTTTGACCCTGGTGCCCGTCGCGCGAGTCGGGGCGACGATCTTGGCCACGAGAGATGCATGACAACGGTGGCAAGCTCGTGGTTTGGGTCAGATCCTTGTGGCGTGTTATCTTTGGTTGCGTTCGACGTCTAATGCCACCGTGATGGCCAGAACGTTTCGAAAACACTGTGTGAAGACATCTGGCGTCTCGTATCAGTGCCGCTGCGTAGAGTAGCTACAGAACAGGCGACCAAGTTCGAGTTGCTCTCACATCCGTGTTCTATCAGCCGTCCCTCTTTGCCCGTGCTCCCTTGTTATGTCTCCCAGGGGCTTGCGCTGTTGCTCGCCCCGCCTCTCCCTCCTGGTCGGCAGTCTTCCCCATATCGGCGTCCCTTTCCCGCGCCTCCCACTCCCACCCCCTCGCCCGCTCGTTCCTCCCGTCTCTCCCCTCCCTCCCATCCGCTTTTTGGTTGTTTTTTCCATGCAGGGTCGGGAGGTTCAGGGGCCATGGCTCGGGCATCCAGCAACCTCTCGGGACGACCCAGGCACCCCCAGAACGCCTTCGGCGGAGCGCAGCCGCCGGAACGCACCCCGACGCGACGCAGCGCCGAGACCCAGCGGATCTGCAGCACCTTCTCCCATCCCGTTTCTTTTTCCGCTCCGTGCCTCCTCACCGTCCTCCCTCCCGGCCGGGCGCCGAGGCCTCCTGAGCTTCTGAGGCGTCCGCCGCCTCCTGAGCTTCCGAGCCCGCCCGCCCCCGTGCCACGACTGGAGCGCCGCCCCCTGAGCCCCGGAGATTTCGGCGCCGTTGCTCTGGCGCTGCCATCCTGCGGGCCGCTCGGTGGCTGGCCCCCCGTCTTTTTCACGGGGGGAGAGGAGCAGGGTGGAGGCGGGGCCAGGGTGCGGAGGGGGAGGAGGAGAAGGAGGAGGAGGAGGAGGAGGACAATGGGGGGAAGGGTAAACAGGATAGACAGCCCTGGTGGCGCCGTCAAGTTTCCCGACGACGCTCCGAGAGGAATGGGAGGCCGGGTGGCGGCACGCACACCAGAGCAACTCCAGTCAAGTGGAATCAAAAGCAAGCACATTACAGTGGCACTCCTGTTCTGGGGTGTTTGCCCGCGAGCAGACGGTTCCCGGCCGCCTGCGGCCCTTTTTTCGAGCCGCGCCCGACAGCGACCCAGCATGAGAGGCCCCACACGCTGCGAGCTGAAACCCCCGCACTGGAAGCAGAATTCGAACGAATGGACCCGCGGGAACCCATCCCCCGAGCTCGACGAGGAGGCCGATCCTTCAACCATCTGGGCCCCAGGGTCCACGGTCTCCAGACCAGGACCTCCCGAGACAGCCACAGCCTCCATCGCGAAGCGGACGGCCTCTGGATAACGGGGGGACGGAGTAGGAGGAGGAGGAGGAGGAGGAGGAGGAGGCGGCGGATCAAGGAGGCGGGATGAGGTGGGGGGAGGGCGATATGAAGGAGAGAAGGTGTCCGGCAGGACGAGGATACGGTTGAGGGGACGAGTGAAGAGGAGGTGGACGAGAAAGGGAATCATGGGGGACGGGGAGGGGGGACGAGGCAAGGAGAGAGGAGGAGCGAGGGGGAAGGAGGAAAGGAAGTACGAGAGAGGGAGGAGCAGGATACAGAAGAATGGGATGAGGTGGACGGGGAGGAGGGGGGTGGAGGAGGAGTGGGGGAGGGAGGGTGGCGGATGATGATTCGGGGGATGCGCAGGAGAAGGAGGAGGAGGAGGAGAGGAGGAAAAACGGCACGCCGCAGGAGAATAGAAGGGCGGGGACGCGGGAGGGGAGGGTGAGCGTGGTGAGCGAGAAGAAGGAGTGCAGGGAACACAGGAGGAGGAGGGGGAGCAGCAGGAGGAGGAGGAGGAGGAGGAGCAGGAACAGGAGGAGGAGGAGGAGGAGGAGGAGGAGGAGGAGGAGGAGGAGAGGGAGGAGGAGAATGACTCCGCTGCTTCTTGTGCCTTTGTCGGGGGACTCGCTCACGCCAGTTCAGTCCTCCCTCCTCCCTCGCCAACCCGCCCCTGCCGCGCGCTGCGGACGAGTTTTGTAAGGACTTGAGCTCCTTGGGTGTGTGCCATCCGGTCCCCGCGCGCAGATCTCATGCCAGGGCCCCCGTCAACGGGGACACGGTCGAACCAGGACGCTGGCGCGCCCGAGAACACAGAAAATTGCGGCCGTGGGCCGAGATGTGCCCCCCCCCCCCCTCTCCTTCGTGCCCTCCCCGGGGGCAGGCTCGAGGTCCTGGCCAGCAGTGTCGCAGTTGAGAGGGGCCCTGATGCTGCACCACTCCGCCCGGTCTTGGGCCCCACTTGGATGAGCTTGGCGGCTGCCAAACGATCGCAATGCTGTTACATCATTACAAGCAGATGCATGTGCTTAACATCAGATAGCGTCGACACGTAGCAAGTACTTAGCAAGTATATAGCAAGTGGCTTAGCAATTAGTAGGTTAAGCGGGGCTAAGTAGTTGCAAACATATATCAAGCGCTTGAGTTGAGCGGCCCAGCATACACTTTGTGACCACTTGTGTAGTCTGTTGTTCAACCTAAAAATACGTTGTTGACCGAATACGCATTTATGCTGAACGAAAAAGAAACATCTGAATCATGTAGAAGCAGATTTCTTCATACACGTAGCTAGCATTCGTGTTGTGCGTGCCTTCTTGTACATTGATAACTTGATATTTATATATAACACGATTGAGCAGTTCGAAATATTCAGAAATCTGTTCCAACATGATCCAGCTCTTTTTTGGGGGGTTCAACATGACAGTGTGATCGGGGTTATCGGCCCTGTTTCTCGGCCCTCGGCCAATAGGTTCCCGGCCCTCGCCCATAAGTGGTCGGCCTACAGGCATAAGTGGTCCCCCGTTGATTTTTACGAACCGCTCCGTGGACATGTTCGACGCGTCCCTGATGACCCTGAAGCCGCCCTTCGAGGTCGAGTAGTACACCATGCCGCCATGGTACTCACTCGGAGGAGGTGCCTGGCCGCATGCCCTCGGCTTGGGGGCGGGCGACTTCACCGTCGCGGGCGCGTATGCCCGTGCCGCTGCGGGGCGTTTCACCTTGCCGCCCTTGCCCGCCGCTTCATCGTGGTTCCATTCGCCTTCAAGACTTTCTCGGCCGCCTTCGCCTTGATGTTCTCGGCCTTCTTCTTGTTCTCGCGCACCTGCAGCGCGTTGAAGGCCGCCTGCTCGAACTTGGACAAGCATGCCACATCGGCAGCGTGCCGCTCCCTCGCTGGACGGGGCTGATCATGGTCCCCGTCATCATCCACGTCCTCGGCCTCGGCAGCGGCAGGCTCGGCGTCTCCACCCGGCGCGCCCCCGCCAAAATGGCGGCGGCGGACTGCGGCCCCGGTGATGGTCATGAGCGTGCTCGGTTGCGACGGTGTGATGCCGCTGCTCCTCCTCCTCCTCCTCCTCCTCCTCCTCCTCCTCCTCCTCCTCCTCCTCCTCCTCCTCCTCCCCCTCCTCCTCCTCCTCCTCCTCCTCCTCCTAACGATCCGCCCTTCGGATGCGGCTGGCTGGCGTTCCAGGGCAAGCGGCTGGCGCGCCTGGCGGCCGTGCGCGGGGGCGGGCTGACCGCCGTGATCCGAGGACCGAATGTTCGGCCGCTCGGCGCCGACCAGGAGCCCCCGCACGTCGTCTCACGCGACGGGTGTACCGTCGTCCTAACTGGCGGGCTTTTTGATCAGCTTGTTGCTCTGGCGAAGTGCGATGTGGTTCTGGACGAGGTCGTTAAAGCCCACTACCTCCGCGTGGACTGGGGGGTCGTCTGGGCTCCATGCCCGATCCCGCATGGCCTTCGGGAGCTCCATGGGTGATGCGGGGGGCGTGCGAATCGGCGCAAGCGGGTAGGGCCCACGGTTCGCCTTGCAGCCGTCCTTGAAGTCCACGATAAACTTGTGGAGCTTCTTGTGGCTGGGTATCTCAGCGAAATGACTGAGGACGAGAAGCGCCACAACCCTCTCGTTCGCATGGGGGTCGGGATTGCAACGCTCGAGCCGATTCAGCCTGACCGCTGCCTGCTCCATCTTGATGTGCATGGTGAGCTCGAGGTGGCGGAAGACGTCCCGGTCGACCTGGGTGGCGTAGAGGTTGAAATTGCATAGGTGCTGGGTCTTAGTCGAAGTCGCTCGCCGCCGCCGTTGACCCCCATGGCGCTGGAAGACGCGCTTCCCAAGTGAGTATCCACTACCTCTGATATCACGTGCGCTTTCTCGCCCAACGGCGACCCCTCGATGGCGTCGGCAATCGCGGCGGCGTTCCCGAGGGCGAACGTGGCGAGACGGGCGATCTGCACCGCGATCTGCGTCGCTCGGTTATCCACTAGCGACGGGGCGACATTGGCGCCGCGAGCGGCCATGAAGGCATGCGCGTCAGTGATGCTCGCGACAACGCCCGCGGCGTTCATGGCGGCTCGGGAGCGCGCGCCCCCTCGGCGCCGACGCATAGTTTGATCGGGTCTCAAGCAGCAGTCCCACTTAGAACTGCACGAGCCAAAACGGCAACGAGTAGGGGGCGCAACGAGCCCCACTTCTCCAAATGGCGAGCCCGCGGGGCCATGCCCCATACAGAAATGACGACATCTCTCCGGGCAATCTCGCGATGTGCGACACTATCCGGGGAACGGCGGCGCAGGGCATGCGGCGCGGCATGGGCGCGGCGAGGTTGGAAGGCGAGCGGAAGAAACCGAGGGGCGAGGTTCCTCGGCGAGAGAGGACGAGAGCGGCACCAGGACGGCGTGGCGTCATGTGTTCACCCCCTATCATGCCCGCGGGCCCGCACTGACGAGGGGCGGGCGAGGGGGGCGACGAGGGGGCGTCGGCGGTGACAGCCATCATATACCCGAGCAGATAATCGGCGATCGAGATGATGGGACTGGGAACTTGGCAGGGCCCGTGACCTTGCAGTTGAGAGAGGCGCGCCCACTTGACCGAGCAATGCTCGGTCCAGTGATGGGGGGCCGCGCACTTGACCGAGCACTGCTCGGTCAAGTGAAAACGGCGAGCTTGCATGAACCTCCCCCAAGAGTGTCCCGCAGCAGCCCCTGAGCGCCACCATGTGGTCCACGAGGCGCCTACCCACGCGAGCCAATCGTGTCCTGAGAGCCCTCGGGGGGGGGGGGGGGCGGGCCTGAGCGGGCATCTTGAGCCATGGGCCGCCCCGCGATGGCCCCGAGGGCCCGCCAGAAGCCCCCGAATGAGCCCCCAAGAAGTTCACCAGACGTATCGACGAGCCCCCCAGGAGCCATCACGGCACCACGTGGTGCCATCGTTGCACCGCGCATGCATTTGGAATTTGGCCCAAACAAGGTGGCGGGATGTGCCGAAGGCCTTTGGGATGGACTACGTGTTGTTTTCGCCGAGCAAGGCGGGCGGGATCAGAGCCATCCTTCAGGCCGCCGCGCTGCGCGCATTGCGCCAGCGACTACTCAAATACACACGCTGGCGGCTGTAATTCGGCAGCCTGCACGTATCTACACCCCCCTCAACCCTCGTCGTCGTCGTCGTTGTCGTCACATCCCACTCCCACCCAACCTAGGGCAGCGCGCTGGCGTCGTCTATCCAACAACGCTGCTAGGCGGCGGGCCTCTCAGTCGCGCCCGTCATCTTCAGTACTGATCGTCATCATCAACAGTCGCACCAGCGTCATCCTTACGATGCGCCACCTCGTAGGCCTTCTACTCCCGCATCTCGATGACTGGCCGAATATGGTTGGTGTCGGCCCACTCGTTGGCAAGGGCCGTGCACTTGTTCCACTCGTGGGGCATTGCCAAGATGAGCTTGATGCATCGTTTCCGCCACCCCGCGGTGGTCTTGCCGATCTTGCCGTTCGGGCTGGAGCCGCCCTCGGTGACTTTATTGCCCTCCTCGGGCGCCGCGCCATCGGCGGCGGCGCGTGCCTCGAGCCCAGCGATCTGCTTGTCCTTGGCCGCGGTCCGCTCGTTGATGGGCGCGCGCCCAGCTGTGGCGGGGCTCGACCGCGAGGCCCCGCCGCCCCTTCTTGGCCCAGAAAAGGACATGAAGCGTGACCTGGCCTGGGGCGACCGTGCTGCACCACATATTTGCAGGCCCCGCGTCGACCAGCGTGTCGGCGAAGTGCCGGCCCTCCGCGTTCGTCGTCGTCTTGTAGAACAGGAAAAGCTGCTTCGAGTTGGTGCCGTTGCCCGGCCCCTGTCGATGCACGCTGTAGCCTGGCGAGTCCGAGCCGATCATCCAGTAGGTGCCTGGCAGCTTCTCCAGCATGCGGCATATATATATATATATATATATATAATATATGATATATATATATATATATACATATATATATATATATACATATATATATATATATATATATATACCGGGCTACAGGGCCGGGGGCTCCCTGGCCGGGACCGCAACCCCCCATGGCGGGATCGGGCCTCCGGGGGCGCCCTTGTCCGGCCCAAGAGGCGCCGAAGGCGGTCCAAGCGTGCCTCGAGACGCTTACGATCGATCCAAGACGCCCAAGATGGCTCCGAGATGGCCGAAGAGGCCTCCAAGATGTCCCAAGAGAGCCCCAAGAGCATTCCCAAGAGGGCTGCAAGAGGCCGAAATCATTGATGTCCGTTGGTTTTTCACAGGTTTTTGGTTTTCTTGTTTTTTCGTCGTCACGACCCTCCAACACAGCCAACGCAGTTCCCAAGACCGTCCCAAGATCGTCCAAGAGGCCCAAAAGAGCTCCACATGACGGTACAAGAGGGCCTAAAAGTAACCCAAGACGGTCCTGGGGGCGAGGCCGGGGGCCCCAGGACAGGTGCCCCGACCCCCCATGGCGGGACGGGGGGGGGGCCTGGAGCCTCCCTGGAGCAGCCCAAGCGGCCCAAGAGTGCCCCAAGAGCGCTCCACGACGGGCCCAGCAGGCTCCAAGAGGCCCAAGAGGGCGCCAAGAGGGCCCCAAGATGCCCAAGATAAGCCCAAGACAGCCAAAGAGGCCCCCAAGACGCTCCAAGAGGCCTCCAAGAGGCCCCCCCAGAGGGCCCCAAGAGGCCCAAATCGCTCATTTCACGAAGGCTTTGGACACATTTTGCCTTTCCCGCTTTTTCAGCTTTCCGACGCTCCACAACGGCTCAAAGGCCCCCCGCGGACGCCCCAAGACAGCCCAAGAGGCTTCCAAGAGGGCCTCAAGACGGCTCTGGAGGGCTCCAAGACGGCCCCAAGAGGGCCCCAAGAGGGGAACCGCGAACCGGAAATTCGAGCCTCCTGCCTCCACAGGGCCCCGGGAGGCTCCAAAGGGACCCCAAGAGGCCCCAAAGGGGCCCCAAGAAGCCCCAGGAGACCCCCAAGAAGCACCCAGGAGGCCCAAACGAGGCTTCAAGAGGCTCCCAAACAGCCCCGAGGAACCTCACAACGGACGGTGCGGACGAGCCGCACTTCGGACCGCCGCCGCCGCCGGTCTAAGAAAACGGCCTCCTGGACGCCATGCGCGCCGTGGCCCTCCTGCGGTGGCACCTCCCGCCCCGGGCCAGCGCAGAGGCCCTCGGATCCCAGAGAGAATTCTCCGTCGTCGGCGGTGTCGCCGTCGTCGGCGTCGTCGTCGTCGACGCCGTCCCCGCCCCGGTCGCCCCTCGGGTCTTGGGCCGTCTTGGGCGGTTTGGGGGGCTGTCTGCGGACCATCTTCGGCTGCCTGGGGGCCTCTTGGGGGCCTGTGTGGGGCCCCTTCGAGCATTCTGGATGCTTTGGGGGGCCTTCTTGGGGTCTCCTAGGGTTCTCTTTGGGGAGGAAGGCTGGAAATGTCAGGCCGGGTACCCCTGTGAGCTCTTTCTGGGAGCGGTCCTGGGACCTTCTTGGGCTGTCTTCGGGGCCTCTAGGTCACTCCTGAACCCCACTTGAGCCGTGTTGGGGCCCTCTTGGAACTCTCTTTGGCCGTCTGCGATCTTGGGGCCCTTTGGGACCCTCTTTGGCCGTCTTGGCGCGAGCTTGGAGGCCTCTGGGCGAATATTATAAAATTATCCCGGCAAAGCAACCTAACAGCGATGTGTAGGAGCATATCTGGAAGCATTCCCCTTAAGATTCACATGAGAATCCAGTTGTAGAATTCTGCTGTTCTCGCAGTCGCAGTCGCATTCGCGATGAAAGTCGCAGTGGCAACGGCAGTCGCAGTCGCAGCCTCAGCCTCAGCCTCAGCCTGCCTCAGCCTCAGCCTCAGCCTGCCTCAGCCTCAGCCTCAGCCTGCTTCAGCCTCAGCCTCAGTCTGCCTTCAGCCTCGGCCTCAGCCTCAGCCTGCCTCAGCCTCAGCCTGCATCAGCCTCAGCCTCAGCCTCAGCCTGCCTCAGCATCAGCCTTCCTCAGCCTCAGCCTCAGCCTGCCTCAGCCTCAGCCTCAGCCTGCTTCAGCCTCAGCCTCAGTCTGCCTTCAGCCTCGGCCTCAGCCTCAGGCTGGCTCAGCCTCAGCCTGCATGAGCCTCAGCCTCAGCCTCAGTCTGCCTCAGCCTCAGCCTGCCTCAGCCTCAGCCTCAGCCTGCCTCTGCCTCAGCCTCAGCCTGCTTCAGCCTCAGCCTCAGTCTGCCTTCAGCCTCGGCCTCAGCCTCAGCCTGCCTCAGCCTCAGCCTGCATCAGCCTCAGCCTCAGCCTCAGCCTGCCTGCTTCGAGCCTCAGCCTCAGTCTGCCTGCAACCTCGGCATCACCTCAGCCCTGCCTCAGCCTCAGCCTGCTGAGCCTCAGCCTCAGCTCAGCCTGCCTCAGCATTCAGCTTTGCCTTCAGCCTCAGCCTCAGCCTCAGCCTCAGCCTGCTTCAGCCTCAGCCTCAGTCTGCCTGCAACCTCGGCATCAGCCTCAGCCTGCCTCAGCCTGAGCCTGCCTCAGCTTCAGCGCATGCTACAGCTGCCTCAGTACAGCATGCTCAGCCTAAGCCTCAGCCTGCCTCAGCCTGCCTCAGCCTGAGCCTGCCTCAGCTTCAGCCTCAGCCTCAGCCTGCCTCAGCATCAGCCTGCCTCAGCCTCAGCCTCAGCCTGCCTCAGCCTCAGCCTCAGCCTGCTTCAGCCTCAGCTTCAGTCTGCCTTCAGCCTCGGCCTCAGCCTCAGCCTGCCTCAGCCTCAGCCTGCCTCAGCCTCAGTATCAGCCTACCTCAGCATTCAAAATCATGCCCAGGAATGGAGTTCTGGGAACTCGAAGAGCACGAAGTGGCCTACAGTTGGCTCCGGGCATTCAACATGTGGCCCAGGAATGGAGTTCTGGGATCTCGAAGAGCACGAAGTGGCCTACAGTTGGCTCCGGGCATTCAAAATGTGGCCCAGGAATGGAGTTCTGGGAACTCGAAGAGCACGAAGTGGCCTATAGTTGGTTCCGGGCATTCAAAATGTGGCCCGGGAATGGAGTTCTGGGAATTCGAAGAGCACGAAGTGGCCGACAGCTGGCTCCGGGCATTCCAAATCATGCCCAGGAATGGAGTTCTGGGACCTCCAAGACCACGAAGTGTGTAACTGTATGATTAAAACGACTTCCGCGGCTTCTCCCCGGCACCCGCCCAGACCCCCTTGGGGAGTCAAGATGCTCTCTTTTGACACTACTAGAAACCTATCAGTCTTCGCTGTTGGGTAAATATACGTTTTCCGAAAAGAATCGGGCCATTTTTGTTTCTGCGGGCCCTCTTGGGAGTCCTCTTGGATGCCTCTTGGGCCGTCTTGGGCGGTTTGGGGGGCTGTCTGCGGACCATCTTCGGCTGCCTGGGGGCCTCTTGGAGGCCTCTTGGGGGCCTATCGGGGGCCTCTTGGGGCATTCTGGATGCTTTGGGGGGCCTTCTTGGGGTCTCCTAGGGCTCTCTTTGGGGAGGAAGGCTGGAAATGTCAGGTCGGGTACCCCTGTGAGCCCTTTCTGGGAGCGGTCCTGGAGCCTTCTTGGGCTGTCTTCGGGGCCTCTAGGTCACTCCTAAACCCCACTTGAGCCGTCTTGGGGCCCTCTTCGAACTCTCTTTGGCAGTTTTTACAGGGTTTCCGCGTCCTGGGCCTCGGAGGCCGCCGCCTCCGACCCCCCGTGGGAGGGCGGGGCGGCCGGGGAGATCCAAAATAGTCCAGGAGCTCCAGAGGCTCCCAAGACGGCCCAAGCGGGCCCCGAGTCGCCGAAAGACCGCTCCAGGACGCCCAAGGTATGCCCAAGACGGCCCGAGAGGCCCCCCAAGGCACTCCACGACGCTTCAAGACGCTTCTCCAC